GCCTGGTGCAGCTCCGCCAGCATCGCCTCCGCCGTCGCCAGCTGCTGATCCGCTGCCGCCAACTCCACCGCCGCCGCATGGGCAGCGGCGGCGGCGGCAGCCGCCGCCGCCGCGGCCGCGCCAGCTGGCGGGCCGGCGGGGCTGCGGCGCCGCAGTGCCCGACGCTCTTCCCGTGTCGAGAACCGAAACCATACGACGGGGAACACCCTACACAACATGTCTGTGTACGGCACCGGCAACCCTCCCGCCGGCTGCCCCTGCCCCTGCTTCAATGGAAGCGTCTGCTGCTGTTGCAGCGGGGGGTATTCCGGGGACAGCGTGTAGATGTCGGAGTTCAGAACGGTGGGCAGCGACGGCCGCTCGAACTCCACCCACTCCACCCATCCGCTGGTGTAATAGCCGGCGATGGGCGGCAGGACGCCGGCGCGTACGGCCGCCAGTACGGCACGGATGTCCGTGGCGTCATCCAAGGCCTGTGGACGGGCCAGCCAGGCGCCGCGACACGGCGCCAAGTGTTACTTGGGGCTGGGTGGGGAGAGGGGGAAGGTGGGTCTCTTTGTGTGTGTCTGTATGTCTATGCGCGTAGTGTGTCATGCATCGTCGCCTATGTTTCTTATGCATGTGTACGTCTGCATGTCTATGTGTCTCATTCCATCACGGACTTGCCTTTACGCAGGGCAAACTCGCCAGGCCGTTCGTAAGGCCCACCGCCAGCTCTCCAGCCGCGGCTGTAGCAGTAGCAGCAGCAGCAGCCTCCGGATACGTGCTGCTGCCGCCGTGGCCGCCAGCCGTACCGCCGGCGGCTGCGGCGACGGCGCCCTGTACCGCCGCCAGCCCTCCGGCGGCTCCGAAACCCCCGCCCTCCCCTCCCGCCGCCACTGCCAGCAAAGCCCCGCACCGGAGGGGGCAGGTGATGCTGACGTGGCGGCTCAACAACACGGAGTCGAACAAGCCTATCCACGGCGGCGGGGGACCCCGGCGGGGCGGGGTGGGGTGGGGGGAGTTGGGGGGGCTTGGTGGTTGGGCTGGGGTTTTGGGGTTTGGGGTTGCGTGAGATACATACAGAGGTCGAGAGGACCCGGGGGGGGGGAGGGAAAGCAGGGGCGAATGAAGCAGAGGGTTGAGGACGCATGCAACTAACAAACCCCCGCGTGTCCGAAATACATACACACGATACACATACATACATACATACATACATACATACATACATACATACACGATCACGGCATCCAGCTCACGTTGTACGACCCACCTAACGTCCTGTAGAGGTTGCCACCCCCCTCCCCCTTCCCCTCCATTGCGCGCCCCCCGACCCCCCCTGGAGCTGTCACCCCCCGGTTGCCGCTGCCACTGCTCCCGCCACCTCCACCCTCCTCGCCGCACTGCTGCTGCTGCCGCTGCTGCCGCTGCTGCGTCCCCCAGTCCCCCCGCCCCCGCTGCCTCTGCTCCCTCCTCGCGCGCCCCAGGGCTTCGAGGGGGCCCTCTCCGAACAGCAGGCGGGGTTGCCGGTCGGGCAGGGGCTGGCGGAGGGGGAAGGACACGGACCGCTGCGTGTGCCATATCTGCGGTGGTGGCGGTGGTGGCGGTGGCGTTGGGGGTGGTGGGGGTGTAGTGAAGGGGGGGAAGAGGGTGGAATGGGGGAAGAAGATGCCGGGGCGTGTAGGATGTGTGTGTGTTTTTGGGTGTGTGTGTGTGCATATTTATGTATTCATGGGTGGCGAAGGGCCCCTGGGTGTTGGGGAGGGGGAGCACCGTTTCCCTAAATAAGGTGTGGGGGGAGGGAAAGAGGGGAGAGACGAACCACGTGAACGAGTGAAGCTGCTGCCAGGGCAAGAGTGTACCAGAAGTTGGACTGACCAGTAGGCGTTCTTGAAGGCGGCGACCGCGGGATGATGCAGTGAAAGAGGGGACTGGAGGGACATTTTTTTTTGTGTGTGTATGTGTCTGTATGTGTGTGGGGGGAGGGGGCTGACAGAGGCAGGGGAACGCACCTCCCTGACCGGCTCTCGCCCCCCCAACCCACCACAACCCCGAGAGCCCCCGTCGGCCCCCGTGGCATGAAAGGGGCGGGAAAGAGCCAGCGCGGGGAATTCCCTTCCCACCCCCCAATACACACACACAAACACACACACACACACACCGCCTGGGGGTGGAGGGGCGCTCGTCTCGTACCTTCCCCCCCTTCTCGCACCTTCCAAGCCATCTGATGTACGGCATGCAGCGCCACATCCTGATCGTGTTGCTGCTGTTGCGGGTGCGGGTGCGCGGGGAGAACGGCGTTCGGTCCGGGTAGGGGCGGGGGTTGGGGCGGGGGTAGGAGGAGGGGGTGGTGGGGCGCATTGGGCCCCAGTGCGACTGCAGCTGCCACTGCTGATGGGGACAGGCGGGAGTGGGTTGCCCGATTAAGCAACCGGCCCCAAGCGCGGCCCTGAGTCATCTGATTGTAGCAGTGCACGTACAGGTCCTCCAGAACTGCAGTGATGCGCACACATACATACATGCATACATACACATGGCGGTACGGCAGGACATCGGCGGGTAATGCGGAGAGGGAGTGAGGGAGGAAATCATAACATGATGGTGGTGGTGATGGTGGTGGTGGTGATGGTGGTGGTGGTGATGGTGGAGATGATGATGGTGGTGGAGATGGAACAACTCCACTACATAGGAAGGAGGGGCCCCTTATGGGTTTGGTGGGAAATGTGCGAATGGGAACGTCACATGTATGTGTGTGTATGCGGCCCTACCTCCCTGACTTGGCTGCCTCTCCCCCTCCCGTATCCCCCCCCAACCCCTAACCCCTGTCGTACCCTCCGTGGCACACAGACTCAGCACCCTCCTCGCCTCCTCCATCGCCCGGGCGGGGAGGGGGGGAAGTGGTTCCGGAGCCCCCCCTGGACCCCCACTGCCGGACGCGGGGGAGCTTTCCTCCCAGGCCTGACACAGCGGGGGGAAGACGGGGGGAAGGCGTGGAGGGGGGGAAGGCGTGGAAGGGGGAAGGGGAAAAAAGGAAATAACCCACCGTGTCATGCAATGAGGGAAGAAGTGAAATGGACGCCAACTGGATTAAGGGGGAAGGGTACGGGAATAAACCGTACACTCACTCACTCATTCACTCACTCGCTCACCCTAAGAAACCCGATCCTCCCCTTCCCCCCATACGCAAGCCCCGTTGGTCATCCCACCCTCCGAGGCGGCGCCCTACCTCCCCCCAAAAAAACCCCACATCACCACCCATTCTCCACACCCCACCACCTAAATCCATCTAAGTATCTGATCTTTCCCTCCCTCCCCTTTTTCCCGCACTCTTCTCTCCTTCCCCCCAAAACCCCAACCGCCATTCAACTCCCCCCCCTCCCTCTGTGGTTCCTGTCCCCCCCCCTCCCCTCCGCACCTGGTCAATCATAATGGACCTCATCACATCGCGACTGAGGTAAGCTGCCGGGTGCTACGTGTGCGTATGTACGTACCGTACGTACGTATGTGGTGCGCGGGGGGAAGCGGGGAGGGGGTTAGGCGAGAGGTAACGGTGAGAGGGCACTAACCAACCCGGTAGCGGGGAGGGTCCGAAACAAAGACCGGAATTCCCCTCCTCACCTCCACCCCCAACCCCACACGCAACCCCTCCTAGCTAGCCAACCCCCCGTAGCTCCGCCCCGATCCCACTCTCTCTCATTCCCACTCTCCTCGCATATATACACACATACATACATACATACATACGTACATACAGTTTCCCGTCCACACAACCCTCGCCTGCTCCCCCTCCGGGCCCCCAAATTTTGGACCCAACAGTTTGGCATCGACCGGCCGGTGACGTTTTGCTTTTTGGTTATGGTTTTCCCCAGACCTTGCTCTTACTTCCCCTCCGGCCCTCTCCCCCCTTCCCATACACATACACACATACACACTCCCCCCATCCCTACCTGGAGCCGGTCGAGCAGGAAGACCCTGTGGGGATCGTTTTCATCATCGTACCCGTTCGGCTGCCGTACACGTACGGCGACAGGGTCACGGTACAACCGGTGCGGCATGGGCACAGCCATGATACAGATGCAGGAGATAAGTCCAGTTATAAAGTCTGTTAGTTCGTTAAGCAGGTAGTAACAAGCACAACCAACAACTAACTGGTCGCCCTGAGTGAGGATTTCGAACCACGAGCACCCCCCGGATTTCTAACCCTCCCTCACATCCCATTAACTCCCCTTCACAAGCCGAACCCCACAAAGCCCCTCTCTCTCTCCCTCTCTCTCTCTCTCTCCCTCCCTCTCTCTCTCCCTCCCTCCCTCTCCCCA